CTGGAAGCACTGAGCTCGTTTTGCCCACTATGTATTGTGTATTTAGATTATAGTAAACACCCAAAATTATTGTATTTTGGCCTAACCCTTCTAGCTACTTGATTCGAATCAACATAATTTATATAACATTGGCGCACCTTGTGTCAGGGATAACCCATATGCAATTTTGTAACAGTTTCATTTCTTGAAGCAAACAACTTTTTTTTAATATTGATCCACATTTCCAGTGTTAAACAGGGCCATACCAATGATTTATACCCAAATTTGTTTAATAATAATTAACGCACACATTGTACATGAGTAAATTATTTAGATATACCTCTATATCCTATTTTGCCCTGCTCCCCTGCCCCTAAAAGTGCGGCACACTTTTATAACTCGATTCTTTTACTCATAAAGACAGCTTTCGAAAAAGTTTCATTTCCAGCTCCATGTTCATATCGTTTTTTGTGTAAGTTTGGTGTGCCATTTCCTACCTGGTCCTTCTGCTACCGGGAATGGATGCCATGGTGATTGTTTAAATTAAGTCATCTGACGATAATTTCGTCAAATATATGTTGAACATGATTGAATTATATCTTAACTGTAATAAGTATTGAAATGTAAACACTGTCATCTATTTCTCATGAGGCAATACTGACCGAACCATTACTGATGATCTTTGAAGAAATGTTCCCTAAAATGTTGAACAATCGAAGGATTCCTCTCCTGACCGTTGTCAGTGTTGTGATGTTTCTTGCTGGTTTACCATTGGCTACACAGGTAATTACTTTATGTTATGTTCGACAACATGGCATAGTTGGTAGTGCGTCGGCCTCCTGTCCACATGGTCATAGAGTTGCAGACAGCAGGATTTGATTGTGACATTTTGCAAGATACTTTCACCTTGTAGTTCAACCTAACCTGGCAAGAATGGAGAATACTATGATTAGGGTTTGCTGTTCTTTACTGTAGTTCACAAGTGGCATGAGACTGCGAATGAGCTGTTGGAAACATGGACTAAAACAAGTAGATCACGTTTACGATATCAAGCACAAACACTAGCACACTTGTAACACGTATAGTGGCACAAATGTGATATTGTGGTAACATGCAATGAAGTAAGGATGATCCTATACTCTCCTGGTAGTTGTGAACACATATCTTCAGCAATTTCCTTGAGATTTAATATAAAATTTAAATACATGTTTTATGTTGCATAGTTATGAAACCGGAATGAAACAGGGTAATGTATAGTTATTTTCAATATAAGGAATTGTATATGATTTGCTAAGGCGTTTTACATGTATATATTAAACAGGCAGGAGTTTATATGTTCCTACTGGTGGACTGGTACACGGGAACCTGGAGTGTCATGTTGATAGGTATGGCCAAGTGTATCATGTTTGCCTGGATTTATGGTAAATTGGATTTTTTTTTGACATTTTGTTAATTAACGTTAAACAATTTACGCGTTATATAAGAAACATACATCCTTGTAGAACACACTATATGTGTTCTTTGTTTGTGACTAGTGTGATAAGGAATACAGGAAACATGATTCTGTTCGGAACATCTTGTTTTGACATTTTTCTTTCCTGAGGGGTTTAATAACGTATTGCGCTTCGTTTGACGTTTTCGTAGCTTGCCTTTGAAGTTTCGGTATTACAAATTTTAATATCATACATTCTGCTTGTGTATCTTTAAGGACCAGCAAAGTGTAAGTTTGTGTATTGCCAAACGGCATATTTTCCATCAACCAGGCAATAAAAGAGCCCGAAATTGCACAACAATGATAAATTAAGACATGACGAGAAAACAGAAGAACAAATCAAAAGAAATGGACATACAGGAACCTTGATCAGGAGATGGAATAGCATATGGTCTACTCTTTATCTTGTCTCCCTGATATAAAAAAATACCAAATTTTGCAATAAACCTGAATATAATAAGTACGAGGGAAGATAATGCGTTCAATTTACAGTTAAGTACAACAAATATGATTTCTTTTCCATTTTACAGGTACACACAGAATCGACCGTGACGTTCGCCTGATGCTCAACCGGCCACTTCCCGCCATCATCCGATTAACTACAGCATTCATTATGCCCGTTTTTTCTCACGGTACGTACATGAGCATTGCTTTGCCTGCCAGTTCGAATATTGCCCTTGTTTCATTATTTTTAACTTCAAATGAAGGCTTCATTCTTTTCGTACTGTTTTGTGACACCATAAGTTCTTGTAATCGAATTGTCATCTTGTACTGTTTTCTATCTTTGGACACAAACTATCAATATGACTTGAAAAAGGAGCATGACATTCTAATTTTGATTAGAAAGTAAAGTCTGATGTCGTTTGAATTAAACTAATATTAACGTTAACATATTTACACATTCACATAATGCGCTTTATTAGGCAGTAATGAGACACAATCATATGCCGTTTAAGTAAAAGTTTGCAATGGCTTTATTATACCAAACAATTCCGTAGAACTCTTCACGTTTTATATATTTCAAACGTGTTTTGTTTCATTTAATTTTTATTAGTGTCTCCTCGTCATCATTATCTTTACGTACAAGAAGCCCTCCTTTGGAGAGTATAACTATCCTGTATATGTCGGAACTATAGGATGGTGTTTTACCTTTTCGTCCTTGCTACCCGCTCTAGGGCTACTGTGTGTGGGTCACAATGACACCAAAAGGCCCGTTGAAATAGGTAAGTGAGAAGTTAATTGTTGCAGTATTGGTATTATTGTGTTAATATTGTATTATTCACTAAAATTGCTGTTTCTTGTGACTCATTCTTTTAGAAATAGAAATGCTGCAATTTCTTATAAAAACATCTCTACCATACTTTTTGTTTGATATAAAAATCTGATATTTGAGAAATGAGTTGATAAGGTTGTATTGATAATTGGTATTTATTACGTCGATACTGTTATTTCACGTTATTACTTCGTGTGTTTGATTTGATACCCTCAACTTTGAATATGATATGATATTTTAGGTCAAACAAATAAGACCTTAGTTTGATCTTTTTATTTGCCTCAACACTTGTCAAATGATTGAGATTCCTGTATAAATGCATTCAAGTGAAAAGGAAAAAATGGAAAAAAGATCAATGTTCCGGTACAGTAAGGCTTTATGCTTCATCAACAACATCGGGAATAATGTAGGCATACTCCTAGTAATACCACGCTTTCAAAGTGATAATGTTCTTGATACTGATACATGTATATACTATTACCAATGAAATTCATTGCCATAACATCCTTATCTTTTAGCGGCTCAGACATCTTGCACGACATACACCACAGTGGATTCCAGCGGACGAGAAGGCCGCAGACATATACAGAGACTTGGAACATTCTGCGGATTTTACCTGGACACAATTGTTCTGATTTAATCTTACGGGACGAGGGGGTATTGTTATCAAGGGCTGTGAGGATTCACTACCTATGTTATAGATGGACTTACAAGTTGTGAATAAAAACACATCTTATTGTATTATTCTAGCATGTGGCCGTATGTTCTTCAGGAAGACGATCAAATGTTTTAGTGACTATTGTTTTGTTTTAAACGCACATCAGATAGAGATGTCCAATGAGAAACCCAGTGCTGAATTTTTCTATGTCCTCCGATCTGTTAGGCAACATTTCGCAGAATTGTTTTACAGCGATATCTTCATCATGTTATGGCAAGAAATACACTCGTACCCCTTTAACAAAATCCTTTTTTATTTTATATGTATTGTATTGCATTGTAAAGATACCTCATCTTGTAAATAAAACATAATATACACTATGAAATCCGTGTAACGACGGACTACATTGTTTACGCGGAAGCATTCAAACGTGGCTTAAGTAGTAACGATATTTATCTGAGGCCCCGAACTGGATACGTGTAGGCTAAAAGGTGCTAGAAAAGAAGTCGGTTATCTCGAGCTAAGATTCTGTAACATCCAAACCTCGGAAAACAACATATTGTATATGAAATACCTAGGTCTACTTAAAAGCTGTCAAACAAACGGTCAGAATGTTCCTCGAAACGTACCGAAAAGAAGACTTGAAAGAGTGTTTGTAAATCTGTCATTTTTTTTTTATTAAATTCAAACAGAATTCTGGTATAAACAATGACGTCAGTGTTTATTGCCTGTCGACCGAATGGCGAATAAAAAAGGAAAGCTTTCACCGCCTAAGGCAGCTATCCGAAGCAGTGGTTACCTGTGTTGGCCCTTTATATATCACATCAGATGTACTTTCTTTCTGTGATGCATGTCTTTCCGAATTTTGTTTAAGCTAAAACATGATGCTGTCGAAAGGAATACGTTATATGATTAACATTTATTATTCACATTAACCTTATATTTGCAAACGTGTTGTTATTTTGTCTATTATCAGTTGATATTAATCACAAAATCATCATATGAAGAACAGACCTTTCAATAACAAATCAAATGCGTCATGTAAACAGCATGACTATTGCAACCAAGGGGAGGAAACTTCTCGATCTACAAAACAGTTTCGTTGCGTTTCTCGCACAGCCGAGAAAAAAACTGTTTTATTTTTACATGTTAATGTTGTTGTAAGTAACAGATCATGTTTAGCTTCTGATATAGGAAAAAATCGTCGGTAAGTATCTGACAGTAAACTTGAAGATATTGACAAGATTTTTGTTACAAGCCCTCATGAGCACTTCAAAATAAACATTTCGTATGACATGTAGGCAAGAGAGGGACACAGCTCCTCCCATGGGAATGTTGACGCAACCACCTTGATACTTTTGGTTAAACCAGAGTAATGCTTTGTCCTTAAAGTAAGTAAGAACCAAGGTAGTGACATCGAAACAACAAGGCAAAACTTTGGCGTTTATATCAAACAAGCAAATTTGTAGTTTACGATGGCGTTCATATATCTTGCCTAGAATCGTCATCTACCTGCATTTACAGAAATCTTGGGTGGTTATGTTATCCATAAGCAGTCTATAATGAACACCGAATATTTTAGATTTGTTGATACAGCAGGAACATTATCATAAAGAAAGGAATGTTAACTATTTAAAATCATAACGCTTACCGTATCGCTTTTTGGTAAGCCGTCATTGTTAGTCCAAGGTAAGCGGTTGTCATAGAGATGTCTGTAGTGTCTTTAATTCCAATTGTAAAACGGAATACTGATAGACGTGTTCAATTTTGTTGAAATACATCACACCATCGAGATGCAAATTACCTGAAACTGAAATTGAAGAACTTTGCGAGGTTAACGCTACCAGCCCGCTCTTAAATAACTTCAGCGTCGTAAGGAATGCTATTTATTTTAGTAATTTTGGAAGTATAGACCGATGTAAGCTGTTGATCTTACAAAAGTATGTAGTGTCACACATTAAAATGGTATACTGTATAACACGAAATGTTTGTGGGCATTTTCTTTCGTGGTTTTAAGCCATTTAGATAGTTTCGTGGAACCAACTTTCGTGGATATCCTAAATCAACAAACAGTAGACACATATATCATTCAAATTCGTTGTGTTTATTTTCGCGGTTCAATAGCATCCACGAAAACCACGAATATTTATACACAACGAACATTTCATGTTGTACAGTATACGATAGATGAAGTTTATATATATATTGTTATTTGAAGACATCATATTGTCAATACATCGTCAATCCATATACAATAAATACTTTAAACTGCTTTTTTAATCAGCTACGTCAAGTATGAAAATACAGTTAAATATTTTGATGATTTACCGAAATGGAAGCCAGCAAAATTTCACAAGTGTAATATCACGAGAATCTCATATCTGCAAAGCATTTTCCTGTACAAAAACACACAAAACAATAATTCACTTAAATGCGTTTTTCTCTATTTTCAAAGCATCGGTGATACGTTTATTTTAACTGAATATTCTGATATATACGCCTATATCTATCACATCATCAGTTAGCTTTCATTTTATCAATGTTTTTGTGTGCTTTATAAGTCCTGACAGTGTTTTGTTAAGACAGGTTCCAAAGAACAGGAATTGTATTGTTTTACGGCCCATCGACAATTCGAGTCATCTAGTTCGTTTAGGGCCAAACAACTATGTACAAATAGACATTTACAAACATGATAACATCAGAACCAGAAAAAAAACATTGTGTAAAAGTTGTCAAAATATATATCGAATTGGTTGTAAAATATATCATATCTTATCACAGAAAACAATTGAATCTAAATAATCATATATTGATTGCGCAGAAACTGTATCAAATAAATGTTTCATAATAGAATCTGTCAGGTATTTGTTTAAAATCAGCGAAATGCAATCATAAAATATTGACTGTCAATACATGACAATAAGGTTGGTCTTCCTTATGTTAAATGTATTTATGTGTGATGTAGGTATGGACTTGGCAGGAAACAAACGTTTAAAAACACAGTTAGCCAGTAGATGGATGATAACGCACCATTAATCATTTTAAGGTTATGCATATTGATTCAATACTATGCTAGGTTTTGTAAGTTAGGTTTTTTGAAGTGTATCAAATGAAAAGCAAACCAGAAGACAAGTGCAGTTTCTCAGTATCCCTACTTTTAACTACTCGTTTTACTGATGAAGTTCATATTTGAAGGATGAACAGAAGACACACACGTGTGATTGTACCTTTATAGCATTGTAATAGATACAGTATGTCAAAAAAAGGAACAACACTGCACTATACAGCTGTTTCGTCCTTTAAGGAACTCATTTGTTCTAAAGGCCAAAAATGGAGAACAGGTCTAAACTACTGTTGAAACAGAAGGAAAGATTCCCAAAGCCCCTAAATGTATTTTCAACTCTAGAGGAGTAATATGCAAGCTGTTTCCCATTGCATTATACCATGAGGAGACTAATGTAGGGTAGAATCGGAGGTTTTCTTCCGTGTCTTCTGCTAAGGGGACATGGGATAATCCAATAATGATATGCTACCCCGATCTCAACACTTGAGCCTGATTTTGTTTCTACTGGCACTTCTTTCTTTACGGCCGTGTCTCCCAAGGTATCGCTGCTTTAACTGTTTCCCAGATATTTTGACCGGGTGGAGTGTCAAGCTAATACTTCAAGGTAATAATGCCATTGTAGTAAGGTGACCCTTAAAAGTGCCCCAGTGAAAGTCTTAGCTGTTGTTTGGACGCAAAATCTTGAACTTAGACTTCGTTTTTCCTCTCAAATGCCAAGACGGCAGGAGTTCGATTCGCCAACCGGACATGAGGAGGTATTTGGTAACCTGCCTGACCACGTTGGTTTTCTCGTGGTACTCCGGTTTCGTCCAACATTTGGACCATCTGCGCGCTAACATCCAGGCCAACAAGAGTGCTTAATATAAGTTGATATAACTTTTTCATAATTGTTGAAAAATAAAAAAAGCTTATATTTAAATATGGATATAGCATTTTATATAATCATCGTACATCATCTACAACATAGGTACCGAGTCACTACAATCCGTGATAACAATGCCCCCTCGTCCCGTAAGATTAAATCAGAACAATTGTTTCCAGATAAATTCCGCCGAATGTTCCGAGTCTCTGTATATGCCTTCGACCTTTTCATTGGCGGGAATCCATTGTGTTGTGTGTCGAGCAAGATGTTTGAGACACTAAAAGGAAAATGCCATTATTATAATGAAGTCTATAAGAATCATTATTATATTTCTTCAAAACGCAGTTTAAACATACTTAATCAGCAGCATTTCAGTTTGTTTTATATCATATATATATATACATATTTTATCTGTTGCCTTTCAAGCTGTTTTATATAACCTAAAAACAAATATTGAAATGCTACTGATAAAAAATGCATCATATAAAAAAATACCGTTTTCTATGATATAAAATTGGAACAATTGAATCCTTTCATTCAGTCCGATTGTTATGACATGCTAATCAAAGGAGTACGCATTGACCCTATATATTAATGGTGATATGTATGGTCAAAATGTAATAACTAATTCCACAGTGATTTAATTTGTAATAATTTATGAAGTCAAGCGTAAACCTTTTGCTTATTATTATGTTAACTTTATCTACATAATGTACCTAGACAAACGTTTTCTGAGCTTTCTGATTTTAGAAATTAAACCGACTTCAATAAATGAATATCTGTTGCTTCTGATCCGTTTCATGTAGTGCGGAGCAGCCAGTCTAAAAGTGTACACAATCTGTGACGTCACAATATGAAGACAGTTGAAGGACATCACATTTTCTTTTTAATTACAACAAAGTTTTATGAGGAAAAGTTATTTTTGTGAAAAAGTTCTGTTTAAGGAAAAGAGAAATAAAGAAATAAGTTCCTTCCCTTAGTGTGGAAAAGAACATGAAAACTATTATCTGAAATACTAATCTCAGTATAACTACCAAGTAAGCCTTGGTTCTAGACATTTTAGAAACGTATACCATGTAACCAAGTTTCTTCGTTACACCCTCAAGGTAGATCATACCAAGGTAACGACTTCGGATTGGGATCCTGTCCCTGTGTATTGACAGTTTTACTTTATTTTATTCAGGATTATTTGGAACGTTTCTTATCCAAAGTATACGAATTGACAATTTACAACACAACATTTAGAATTGTCGTTTCTTATTTACAACAAAGCAATTTACCATCTAGTCTTAATTCCACTGAGCGTAAAATGTAAATAAAAAAGTATATCTTTTTGCACACAACACACAAACGGGACAGCATTTTGATTTTTGATTTGATATAGCAGTCATATACAGTTTAAGTCATATCGACAGACGGTAGTCTAACGATAAGCTTTAGCCTAATATAGGGGAAAAGCAATCAATGTATCAACTATTTAACTTTTCATCTAACAAATGTTAACATTTTTCATGACGGAATACGTTGCACAGTAGATAACAAGCTCATACATTTATCTTACTTTTTAATTTAAAGTACTTGTTATCAGAATGATGGTATTGAAATTGTTATGTTGTTGTTGTGTATGTTTACTCTCAAGTATGAGCATGGTATACTATGTTTGAACGTATTTAAGCAACTTGTCTGTGATCTTTAATATTTCCTATGGCAAAAAGGTTCTACGTTCTGCGATAAAACTCCGTAAACCTGGATTTGCTGTTTACTTTATGTGTCAGATATTGTTTGCGAAATAACTGAAAAAGTTGTTTAAATTCAATGTTTTCTTCATTAGAAACATGATATTGACGTTATTAAATACATTTTATGACCAATCAAAACACTATTTAGTAATATACTTTACTACGTATATAAATAAATTATTTTACCTGTAACTGAACGAGATCGCGTTATCTAAGTCAAGGGCTTAACTGCTTAAGCCGGGTTTAAAACCTTCCGCGTAAACAATATAGTCCGTGCGTACACGGAAGAAAACATATTTCATAGTGTGCATTATATTTTGCAGATGAATACATCGCTGTGTGAAAATTCAGCGAAATTTCGCGTAATGGTGCCAGATAGATAGGACGACATATGCAAATCCAGCACTTGGTAAATCATGGGATATCTCTGTCTGAATTGCATTGATAACAAACCACTCATCATTGAAACATTGTATTGTCTTCAAGGAGACCACACGGCCATGCTTCAGATAATGCAGTAAGATTTGTCTTTCATTCACAAATTCGTAGACCATCTACAACATTGGTAAAGAGTCCCCGCAGTCATTGATATTAATTCCCCCTCGTCCCGTAAGATTAAACCAGAACAATTGTTTCCAGGTAAAATCCGCCGAATTTTCAGAGTCTCTGTATATGACTGCTGCTTTCTCGTTAGCTGGAATCCACTGTGTTGTACGTCGTGTAAGATGTCTGAGCCGCTAAAAGGAAAATATCGTTGTGAAAATGATTTGATATTGATAACAATATTATAATATTATCTTGGTTAAAACATTAGACATTTATAAACATATGTTTATATAGAGCATTATCACTTTGAGAACGTGACCTTACTAGGATTAGGCCTCCATTTATATACCGGATGTCGTCAATGAAGAAGAAGGTTTTACTCCACTGGAACTCTTGATCGTTTTCCCCTTGTATTTGTATGCACTTATGCAGAAATCTCAACCATTTGTAAATGACAAAATATTACAACTTTGAAAGGGTTGCCTTTTATAACAAAGATTGGGTTTTTTCAAAGGAATGAAACAGACAATAATAACATTAGTGTAAAATATAGCATAGGCACCATAGGCAATTGTTATCGATGAACAAAACATGTTTCACTTACCTGTTTCAACGGACCCTTTGCTTTCATTGTGACCCACACACAGTAGCCTAGAGCGGGTAGCAAGGACGAAAAGGTAAAACACCATCCTATAGTTCGGGCATATACGGGGTAGGTATACTCTCCAAAGGAGGGCGGCTTGTACGTAAAGATACTGATCAGGAGGAGACACTGGAGGAAATAAACAAAAGTACAAAACTTTTTTGAGATACAAAATGTGAAGACAAACACATAATTGTTTGATATAATAAAGTGTGACCATTAAGACCTATTACGAAAACGTCATTACCCTGTGTCTCATTGCCGCTTATCAGAGAGAATCATGTGAAAATGTAAATATTTTAATGATAATATGACTGTGTTTATTTCAAACAACAACAACAGGATTCACTTTCGAATTAAAAATCAGAATGCTTTTCTTCAAGTCATATTGATAAATTGTGTCCTAAATTAGAAAAAAATTACATAATGGCAGTTCGATAACAGGAACATATGGTGTCACAAAACAGTAAGAAAACTCAAGATTAATGCAACTAGAGCAATCTTCGAACTGGCAGGCAAAGCAATGCTCATGTACGTACCGCGAGAAAAACGGGCATAAGAAATGCTGTACTTAATCGGATGATGGCGGGAAGTGGCCGGTGGAGCATCAGGCGGACGTCACGGTCGATTCTGTGCGAACCTGCGAAAGGTAAAGAAAAATACATTTGTTCATTTTTCCTGTAAATTGTACACATTATCTTCCCTCGTATTATTATACACAGGTATAACTTAGTGTGGAGTATATGCATATAATCTTTCCAAATTTTCTTATCAAGGAGACAAGAGAAAAAGTAAAGGGTATGCTTTTCCTTCTTCCTCTCCAGTTTTAATGTAGATATTCATGTTATCTTTCTATTCTCATAATGTGTGGTTAAGTTTGTTTGTCTTGTCATGAATAATTATCTTAATCTGTCCTTGTTTTTCGGGCTCATTTAATGCCTGTTTGATGGAATTCATACCGCTTGGCAATGCATAAACTTACTTTTTGCTGGGTCTGAAAGACACACAAGTATAATAATAATAATAATAATAATAAAATTTGTAATATCAAAACATCCAAACTTCAAAGCCTAGCTATGAACGAGACATCAGACGAAGCAAAATGCGTACGGATTGATAAAATATATTACCTGTAACTGAGCGAGATCGAGTTATCTCAGTCAAGGGCTAAGATTCTGTAACATAATCCCAACCGAGTTGTAAGCGATGTTGGGATGTTACTTAATCTTAGCCTGAGACGACTGAGATAACCCGATCTTGCTCAGTTATAGGTAATTGATTTTTTTTATTCTCTTACCTTTTATTTTGTATTTTTTTTATTCAATTTTGCTAAAGACTACAAGTATCCTGTCTTGGGCCTCGAATAAAAAATGCTTCTACACTACTAGAAATACATTTGAATGCTTCCACGTAAAGATGTAGTCCGTCCTTACAAAGAAGACAACGTATTTACCAGTGTAGATTACATTTTATGTACAACGTCAGGGCCCAGTTGTTCAAAAGGTGATTAGCTTAATCACTGCTTAACGCTCGGATGAATACATCGCATTGTAAAAATTCGGCGAAATGTCATGTAAAGGTACTAGACAGATCGAACGAAATAGAAAAAATATAGCATGACGTGGGATATCTCTGTCTGGGGTGCGAAAACAATGTTTTCTGTACCCCACATGACACTAGTCACAAACCACGTGTTCCATAAGGATGATGTTTCGTGAACTACTTGTAAAACGTTTCACGTTATTTCGCTCACAAAAAATCGCATTTACCATAAATCCAGGCGAACACTATACACTCAGCCATACATATCAACATGACACTCCAGGTTCCCGTGTACCAGTCCACCAGTAAGAACATATAGACTCCTGCCTGTTTAATATACACATGTAAAAATGCATTTTCAAATCACATACATCACTCACAAGGTTAAGGTTGTTTGCTTTGACCATGTATTTCTATAACAAAATGTTTTCAAATAAGATAAAAATAGTTTATTCTGGTTTATAACTATGCAGCATATATATGTACATAAAAAGTCATATTAGATATCACAGAGAGTGATGAAGATACCAGGAAGGTATGATGTTTTCCATAATTATACGTGTACTTCTGTGTGTGTTTGATATCGTAAACGTGATCTACTTGTTTTAGTCCATGTTTCCAACAGCTCATTCGCAGTGTCATGCCACTTGTGAACTACAGTATAAAAAAATACTAAACCCTTATCATAGTATTCTCCATTCTTGCCAGGTTAGGTTGAACTACAAGGTGAAAGTATCTTGCAAAATGTCACAATCAAATCCTGCCTTCTGCGCATTTATGATCCTGTGGAAAAAAAGACCGATGCACTACCAACTATGTTATGTTGTCGAACATGGCATAACGTAATTACCTGTGTAGCAAATGGTAAACCAGCAAGAAACATCACAACACTAACAACGGTCAGGAGGGGAATCCTTCGATTGTTCAACATTTTAGGGAACATTTCTTCAAAGATCATCAGTAATGGTTCGGTCAGTATTGCCTGGGAAATAGATGACAGTGTTTACATTTCAATACCTATTCATATTAACATATTATTCAATTATGCATACTTTACAAATGTTTGACGTAATTATTGTACGAAAACAAAATTTGATTGTTTTTCTTTTTACACTATCTTTTTGTTATCCGAACCAAATATATAAATGCCGGGAAACACTGCAGGATTCGACAATAAACGATAATTCTTTTTTCTTCTTTCTGTTTGCGTTCCATTACAATCTTGTGTATTATAAATATCAATTACATTTTCCAGACAGATATAAATTGATGTGCTATGAATATCTTGCAATTAATTATAAATGAACTTGTAACACTCACCATGGCATCCAGTCCTGGTAGTAGAAGGACCAGGTAAAAAATGGCACACCAAAGTTGTGGTAGGGGGAAATAACTCAGGGCCTTTGGATAGGCGATAAATCCGATTGAAAAACCACCTACAAAAAAATAGATACCTTTCGTCATTAATGTGACATAACTTACACGAACACGGTGTAAACATGAAGCTGAAAACGAAACTGTTTAGATAGCTGTTTTTTATGGGGAAAAGACTCAGGTTGTAAATAATAAGGGTGCCGTCCTTTGGGGGCAGGGGAGCGGGCAAACTAGGAAACAGAGGAGTATCTTCATTAGTTTACTCCTTTACAATGTGTGCGTACAGGAATTTAAACCAGATTCGATCTAAACTATCTCTAAGCGTTGGGGAATCAATTGTTAACAATTGCTGGATAAGGCTATAATGGAAAGGGAGGGGCAAATTAAAGATATCTCGTTCGCAACAAGAAGAGAAATTGTGACAAATTTCATACGGGGTATCCCTGATCCTAGGTTTGCCATAGTCATATAAATGATGATGATTATAATCAAGGTGGCTGAAGTGCTAGGCCTCAATATTTTGATGTCCAATTGTACTACTATAATCGAAATCCCTATAATATACAATACGGCGTGGGTATCAAGAACTCTATGGTTCCAGGTTGGACAAGGAACCAATGTCCCAGGGTCATATCTAGGAAACGGGTCCGTGTACAATAGCGAATCTAAAAAGAGATATACCTGCTTTAGATCTATAAATCGAGGATTGTCATCAGAGTTTGGAATCTGTCTGGGAAAATACTCTGAGGAGTAATATCGAAAGGCAGGGATTTTAATCACATAAACATGCATTCAGTACCTTGATGTAAAGAGAAACACCCAAGCTACCAGGGGTGACCCATATGTCATAATCCACCCCTGGGGACTAGGCCTTGACATGGGTACATTATAAACAATTAATTTTATAACATTATAGCATTGAAAGATAGGAAAAAACAAATACATGCATGCTACATGTACCAAAGTTTGAAACGTCTATGAAATATGGGTCATCTAATGAAATAAAAATAAATCACCATCCCCATAGGCACTTAAATATCTCAAAAGCTAAGACAATCTTATTTCCACCAGAACTAACAATGAATCATCCTGCTGAACCAGGGACAGGAAGTGTGTATAAATAAATGGATAATGATAAGATGATTCTTATAACGGTTGATATGCAATTTCATTTTAATGAAAAACCTTTTGTCGTGATTACTCAAAATATCCATGTGAGGGATACAAGTCTTCTGAGGAGAGGATGAGTAGGAATATACATTTCTTCAATATTATAGACTGACCTGATGTCATCAGGTCTGGGATAGGAACATTGATTTCCTCGGACATCACGCCTAGCACGGAAAACACCACAAGGCCATTGAGAAGACCGAAGGTCAAGGTCGCTGATGTCGATATTACAGACGATCTGAATGTAAAAAGTTTGAAATACAATAAATTATATAAAGCAGGATTTTAGTAATAATTGTTTGTTTAGTGTTAAACGTTCTCGAAGCAGCCAGAGTGAGAGGCAGACGGGACTGGTACCTAGAGAGACATTGCTGGGAGCAGACAGAAGATAGAAAAGAAAGAGGACAGGCAAGATAGCTCGGAAAAAATAAATCTATTGTCTGTACTTTTTACAGTAAGGTGATAGGTACAAATGAATGTATGGATATATTCTTAAAACAAAACAAAAATACCAAAGCCATAATTCAAACTCAAATTCGACAAAACCAGGGCAAAACATTATCAAAGGAAAGATTTACACGTAGACCCTTTAAAAATCACAAGGAGAATAAGACCATATGTCTTGGAAAGATAAGCGTGTTCTGCTTCATCGATATCGATGACACCCGCCATATAAATATAAATCGAATCCAAGAAATGTCACTTCCTCACATTGCGAACTTGGGTAGTGTCAACAAAACAATGAGGCAATTGAATAAGCAAAATGAACAAACATCGGTCTTAATATCACAAAAAAACGAGATCCTGATGGCAACCATACAACTGGTCAAAATTATAAATTTCACAAAAAGTCATACAGTATGCCTAATTTGTATCTACGACAAATCGGGAGGGGGGTGGGGGGGGGAATAAAGCAAGAATTCCACAGGAGTGGATATGTCGCCTGCGCAACAGATTTTCTAATTATAGTGACGGTGACCTTGACCTTGCCATTCATTTCTATATTGATGGCGCACGCTATTTTGTGTTTCAGAATTACACTTTCGTGGTCAATGTTGATATTAATAAAACTAGAACCTTGGCTTTGAGGTAGAGGTGTTGAACAAATAAATAGTTCCTACATTTTCGACGGAATGTCGTTATTTGGCATTGAAAATCGGAGAACAATTGTTTAAGTTATCGTGTAAAAAAGGAAAGGTTAACGGCAAAAATAAAGTACTGTGTTGCTATGTCAAGTATGATACGCAAAAACGCGGAAAGTTGAAACTCGACAGAAAATCCCGTAATTTATGTTGAACATAATTGCCAAGTTTGTAAGGAATTGATCAAAAAATAAAAGAGTTCTTGCATTTACTACACAATGCCCTTATTTGGCAAATAAAGGTGCATAACTACACAAAAAATGCACGTAAACCTCTGAAATGCAAACTCATTCAGGCTATATTTGTATGCAATATGTGTACCAAATTTGAGTTAAATCAACCGAAGGAAACTCAAGTTAACCCACGGAAACCTTGTTTCGGACGACGCAACCGACGACGACGACAAAGTAATACCTATATATCGCCTCTTTTAACATGATTTAAAAATGCAGAGAGCAGATTCCTAACGATAAAATACATACTGGAAACAGTTAGTCCGGAATTTATTGTGAGCACCCATCATCATCAGTCCTCCCCAGCCCGGGCCAAGCGTAATAAACGTCTGAAAGGAGGCTTCTATCCACAACTAAAACACATACATATAAGACGCTTATTCTACTCTCCTTAAACACTTGAATAAATGAATACCTAGTATCAGATATGAGTTTCATTCAAACAGAAAAAAATTCCATCGCATTTCTACTTATTGTTATATATGAAAGAAATTCACTGTAGTACACTTATACTATGTCGTATTAATTACTTAAAAAGAACTGGTACCTGTGGGTCAGCAAACCTTCTGAAATCAGCCGACACAAAATACAGCATCCCTTTGGTAGATCCAGGTAAGGTCAGGGCTCGTATCCAGATCATCACAATTAGAACAACAGGAAGGAGTGCGGTTACGTATAGCATCTGTAGAATCAACATGTAACGTTAATATTTTGGCCGGGTTCAACACATTACGAACGTTAGCATCTACTGAATACAGTGTTTTACAATCTGCTACCTCAATAGCAACAAGCTGTATATATATTGTGAATATTTAATGTTGTGGCACTACGAAACCTTTTACGTGCTATCTACTTTTCATTTCGTTAGACCCAGGTGAGAATTATCTGATCAGAGTGTCAATCTGAGTTGTAAAGTTACGCTATTTGACGCTAATTTTTCAATAACATATGGTTATATTCCTTTTACTTTTTCAGGAGACCCCATGTAAATCTCTCCTTTGGTCATATTTTGCCCCTGGTTTCTGTTACCAATTTTGAGGTTCAATTGCAATTTTGACACTTTGATTTTTTTCTTGATTTTTCTTATTAAACAACTCTTTAATTTAATCTTTTGAATGACTCAATCGTCTGTGAATAGTTTTGACCTATTTTAGTGACGCATTGAACATATTATGAATACGTGAATTCAAATCAAAATGTTTAATTTAATAGTGTTTCATCTATTTTTTAAAGTTAGTTTTTTTTTGATAATGAAATAATCAGATATTAATAATTTTCTGATACACAAATGATCCCTAGACTATTTGAGATTTAATATTTTTCCTATCTACTTCATACTAGATGAACAGCAATATACAACAAAGAGAAGCATTCGGCAAAATTTATTAAAGGTTCTAGCGTCAAGTTCCAGTTTAAGGGACCAAATATCAAAATTTTACTTCAAACACAGTGTTCGTATTTAACGTGTCAAAACATTTCAGAGCAACTGTTTCCTTTATATGACACGGTCATAGCTTGACAAAGTGACCAGTCGATCTTGAACATTGTGTCCGAGCTTGACATAGTGACCAGTCGGTCTTGCAACGTTGTGTCTGAGCTTGACAAAGTGACCAGTCGGTCTTGCAAAGTTGTGTCGCGTTTGATAGTACTTTGTGTGTTGTGTATGAAGTAAAACTTTGTTATTACATATTTTAAAAGTGATGATGACAAGATACCTAAGTTGAATGCATTGTACACAAAAACATTAAAGCTGACTTATCATAAATGAAAATTTGATATGTCATGGAATATCAAATAAACATACAAAAAAACGCCAGTCTATACTATCTACATGTACAACGCTCATATGTATAGCACTACGTCTGTATTAGAAAATCTATTATGTCAACCTCAAGATGTCCTTTGGTCAAAAGTACATTACATCAAGGTCAGTAAAGCATGTCGCAGAAATTTAGATGGCAAGAATTTTGAACAATATATTCTATGTTATTTTGTCAGCAATAATACAGACGTGAAATACTAAAAGGAAAACGGTAACATTTGAATTAGATTTTTACATTTGAATAACCATTTGTTTTACAAATAAGATCGACAATATGCATGTTATATTCTATTTTTTAAGATCAGATTTTTCTTATTTTGCTTAACAGTACAGTGCGTGTGGATTACCTTGCCCATACTTTCAACGCTTTTCACAATACTAATGGCGGCCAGCAGTCTCAACACGAACAGATACGCCACGAATACTACACTGATGGTTCCAAGGTAGTCAATCCCATCAGATATTCTCAGGATCTGATATCTGATAAATCAAAACGGCTAGCGTTATCACAGATGGTACATTCATTCAAAGTATTTTTTTATTAAAACGTGAGTACCCACCCACCTCCATCCCCTACCCCCTTCTCCTCAAAAACAAAGAGTACCCACCCACCTCCATCCCCACCCCTTCTCCTCAAAAACAAAGACCGAAAAAAGTGTTTAAGGGGAAACTGTGACACACCTGATTATTTTGAAAATAAGATAATTCTTTTATTCTGTATTCTGTCCGACATTAAGTAGTATTTAAATGGAAACATTTGCAATATTATTCCAGACATATTTCTAGGCGAAAAGAAATATGGAACACGTGACCTGTTTCGACCCGAACATGACACAAACGTTTTTTCTTCTTTGTCAAATGTACATATGTAACATGGGTTTAGTATATCCCAATTTCCATTATCAACAAAAATCTTCAATACGTGTCGTATTATTCTTTTCACCATTGGTTTATATTTGTACATCTTTAAACAATACACAACGAAATATGGTTGCACATACTTTCTCTGTTTTATTATTTCGAAACAAAACGTAAGCACTTTAAATTTCGTCCAGATTCCAGAAATTTTCTATTTTTCAATGTTTTCTGCGCCTTAGTCTCATGATCGATTAATATGCGGAATCGGGTAAGTAAAAGCTTCATCAAAATATCATCTGACTCATCAGTTATTTTTATGAAAAAGTTGCGAAACAGGCAGAGAAGTAACTGACCGGAGAACTTTTATTTTTCATACTAACACATTGATCATAGTGGACTTACTCCCTTGATAGCGAAATCAATGCAAAAGTAGGGGTATCATAATATTTAATGAGTTGCTTTTATAAAGTAAGGGTATATTTAAAAGATATTATATGGTATTTGTCTATAAATCATGAATTTCTTATTCCATAGGTAATTTTAATGTCTAGATTGAACGTCAATGATAAATTCAACGATTTAAAAAAAAAAAAAAAAAATGTCGTTTTTTGTAATTTCATAGATTACTAGTAATTTCATAAACAATACATTAAATGACAGAGATGGCATCGCTTACAAGAGACAACAGACCATTATAAACGTTAAGCTTTACATTAAATCAATTAAAAAAAGGTTTAATTGTGTGACGGGTTTTCTTTTCACAAAAAGACATGGAATTGTATATCTCATTCACACTTACAGCCAAAACTCATCCACAGAATCCCTCGGATGGTATATAGTACTATTCGTTTCAGTTACCGTCGTCCAAGATGTCAAGTTCTGAAATATTAATGATTAAAGGTTCATGGTTTGAAGCCATATAGATCGTTTCGTGGTACATACTTTCGTGGAAACTGACAACAAACAACAGTATCCAAGTACATCAATAAACTCGCTGTATTTAACATTCATGATATACAGTGTAATATTCAAACGAAATTTCCTGTATGTAGACAACGTGAATTATGTTTTTAAAATAAAGTTCCGACTTGTACAATTAGTTCATTGACACACTTTTTTGCAAACTGGTTGCCTTGGTAAACACAATGTAATATGACAACAATAGGTGTCAAGTGTCACGTCATTTGAATATGACGCCACAGAATACACTTTTACATCCCTAACGGTTGTGCTGCTGTGATAAAATCGTTATGAGGGTGGGAGGTTCTACACTACACACCGTGTGGAGGCATACGATCCCCACGTTTCGCTGTGTAGTTTTTGCCCGCCATCGTGACTCCACGTTCAGTTCCCAACCAACATCCCGCGGTGGAACGTGACTCCACATTACACCGCTACTCCACCATTAGACAGCGTGGAGGGAACATGGAGGTCGTCTAGAGTCATAAAACGACACAAGATCTCCACGCTTAAAACTCCAGTACATATTCATAACGTAGAGGGATCGTACATTTTAGACACCATCCACCCTCCAACATGGTGCCATCCCTTTCGCTGTCAATCAGCTTAACATGACAGGCATGACTGCGGAGCTGTTGGATTACTGACTTTCGTTAGGTTATAAATAACGGTAGATATTTAACCAATCACTTTTGGTATCAGTATTATTTTCATTTATATTTAAATGTAAAAATAACACTTATCCTAGCTCTGGATAAATTTATAAACCAAAGATAATGTTTTATATGATTTTACTTGTTTGGAATAATTTGAACCCTTGTTTTCTTTTGTCAGGCCGATTGCAATGATTAATTGTCCATTATGCGCACGCATACCGGGTATATCGATATAGTACGGAGTTATCATAACTGTCCCTCCATAGTTATTGGGAGGGGAAATATAAGAGAGGTTTCCTAAAATTGTTTTATTTTGCTGTAAGGTTTCTTTGTAAGAAGATCAATCAAATCAGAACATTATTTTAAAATGAGTAGCTCAAGCAATGTATATCAACAAAGGGACATAACTCCATACATTTGGGAGCTAAAGTTCTCTGTTCTATATTCTCGAATACTCATGTCCCCTCATGATCAATGCAAGCAATATATGTACCAAGTATCATTGAAATTGGTGAAGTATGTGTTCTTTAGTAGTGCAAAAAATGCTTTTAAAGGGGTATAACTTAATCCATTTTGCATACTCTATACACACACCCTTAATTAAAGTATTATGTGTTCCACGTAAACACCATATACACACCATTATGATTGCCTGTGGGTCTTAACCATTAGGTTTGAACACAGAACCTCTTTGATCAAATTGCCCCTATGCTAGGAGAAGGCTTTCAGCCATGTGGGGTTTTTGTGGGGATTTTGGCCCCTCTATTTGTACAATTTTGAGTTCCCACTTCCTCACAATGCTTCCAGGCAACCATTATCCTTCTCATAGTTTTGCAAGAGAAGATATCTAAAGCAATATGACAATATTAACCACCTTATAATATGACAATATTAACCTACACTCAATCCCCTGGGTGTTTAACTGCTCTATTTCTACATTTTTTGTGAATCCTAACCACCTTCGAATACTTGTTGAAATGTTCTAAAAAAAGATTTTGAACAAATTGCTGATGGACGGTAAGACAGTCGCCACGGTACAGAATATTTAGCTCACATGTCTTTCCTTTGGACCAGATAAGCAAACAAAGGGGGCACAACACTGACAACAGTGAACCTATATAGCCATTGAATATATTCCCTTAAATCCAGGATTTTGCTGGCTCTGCATGGAGAGTTTTAAGTATCTCTTATTATACACATACAAGTGGTTTTTCAAAATGGTGTTTTAAAACTAATTATTAAAATGTTTGCATGGCTATAAAAAAAATGTGTGAACTGCAGGTTTATTTGGGGTTATTTCTTCCTGGTTGTACAGATTTAGTCTATGTTTTGGTATTCCCATATACTAGATGGTGTTCAGTGATCCAGGGTTTCTTGGTGGTACATGTAGTTACCCAAAAGTAATAATAGAATGAATAATGAGTACTTAAGCATCCAAAACTTGAATATATATTAAATAGTTGAAGATTGTTATAAAAAGTTTTATTATAATTCTCAAAACAAAAAGGGAACTGCGGGCAATACATCCAACTAACTGTTGTGAGATGTGCACCAGAACATAAGCGGGTTGACAAATATATACAAATACCATAAACACAAGAAGTTTTCCATACAAAGAGAATGAAATGTAAATAAGTCATTAGCAGAAATTTGTAAATGTAAGAAATAAGAATATATAATTGTTTACGTAATTATTACGTAAGGCAAAATATAGCAATACTTATTTTCGTGCTTACTGTCGGTATTCCGACATGGTCGTGAAATATTTATGTTATTTAACAGGAAACCGTTAAATTCCCTCCATATATTTGTAAAGAAACGTTATATATACCATCATGCTGTAGTTGCCAGTGCTGTTATACAAAGACACGTTCCCAGTTTCTGTGTGTGAACCTTCCCTATAACACGCCGGGGTGTTCCAGTCGTTGTCACAGTTTGTCCAGGGTAGAACTATCTTAAACGAGTTTACGAAATACTCAATCGACCAGGCTCCCATGATGGCTGTATTAACGGCACTTAAAGCGTTGATGACTGCTATAGCGATGCCCATTCCTGTAAATTTGGCAATTGTAAAAATATGGGAGGTTGGAATGATATGGTATATTTTGGTGACACACATTTATAGTACTTATAGTTTAACGTAAGTAATTCGTAACTCAACAATTACCAATTTCAAACACCTTTTCACAGCGTTTCATATAGATGAAAACCTCTTGCTTTTGTAAGACTTAAATTGACTAACACAAGTTGATGTATTATATTAAACAACTGACTCGTTTACAAAGTGTTAGAGTGCAACAATGTTAAGGATGAAAAGGATTGAACGTCATTTTGTCAATGTTAATGCAGGTATGAACGCAAATGGGTTTCATAAATTAATGTGTCAACAAGTATGCGGTAATACTTGGCATGAACATTGACAAATATTGTTCAAGTCATATGCTTACATTCTCAATTATATAGTTACGCGTGCTTTGTATATAGGTATTATATTATATTTTCGATATTGAAGCATCTGTGGCTTCAGTTATTTAAGGAGGAAGGCGAATCTTCAAAATGAAGATGAACAAATTGCATTCATAGCCCTAAATGGTAGTGTTTAAAGAGAACTTACTGTGGGAATTTAAATATGAACAATCGGACTATGTATATATTTGAAGTAAAATTATTATATATGAATGATCTGTACCCTTTTTTTTCTTAACTACATAATGGAACCCAACTTTTTCTAGAGAAAAATATAATAGCGCCATTTGCAGAATGTATAAATGCTGTTTTTATTCCGTCCATTGTTTTTGAAATATCAAAATACCCAAAACGATGTGTGTTGGAGTTGTCAGGCAATAGGTGTTTAACTAAATGAATGTTCAGATCAGCATTTAACTTACCCCTCAGTAATGGACAGATGTCCCAAAACCTCCACGGTCCTTTGCCAGAAAACTGAGACAGCGCAAGCTCTAAGAAGTACAACGGAAGTCCGCACACCAGCATCAGTAGAATGTAGGCGATAATGAAAGGTCCTAAAATACGATATTGACTTGAACCTTAATAAGATCAGGCAATCAATATCATTTAGAAGGTAATATATTATAGCCAATGAAGAATAATTTAAAAATTGACAAACATTTCACATTTATGTAAATTAAACAAAATGATTAGGTCAATCAAAAGTTTGTATCAATTGTAACGAGTTACAGCAAATTCAAATCAAGAGTATCATGGATAATGAGAGTTTCTTTTTAAACTTTGAAGTATTTAATCATTGCCTTCTTGATTTTTATTAGCAAGTAGATACGCTACATTAGCACGTGAAACACATTAAGGTCCTTTTTGTCTTATAAATGAACGGAACGTATCAACCTCCATCTTTGTCTTTGATAAACAAATAATTCTAGACAGAAAGGCAATTCTAACAAAGAAAAATGGCAACAATCAAAATAATGAGAGCGGGGTTGCGAGATAAAAAAAATGGAAATGGAAAATATGAAAATAAAAATCTGTTAAGTTGAAATTGTTTGGCATGAATAACTTTTCCATAGAATTGTTTTCTTTTGCATAAGAAGCCCGGATGGCGATTGTAAATGTCATCATGAACAATAGCCTTACTACGAAATGACAATTTAATTGAGTAGTTTAAAAAGAGTAGCATGATTTAATAAACGCACAATCTAGTTTGATTCAGGTTTTGCGTTGGTATGTCGTGATTAAACTTCTGTAAATATTAGTTTTTACGGGTTCCGCTCCGTGTCACGAGGACAACTCAAAAACAGACAATCTCAAAATACAGCATACATCTTCTATTTTTTCTGCCATAACTTTATAAACACATCATAAACTATATCAGATGTCTGATATGAATCTATGAAACACAATGTGTCTCATGTCAAGTAATATAACCAAACGACACTTGCTTTTTTAATGAATAAATTAGAACTAAATGAAAAATGTAAATTGGAAATTAAATTGACTCATAAACCTAAACACATATCATATTGAATATAATGGATGGTTGTAAGGCACATCAACACAGCTAAGCATAGATATATCGGGGCTGCTCTCATTTTTCTATACGACAATTCTGGTAAGCGACAGAATATAATGTTGTGCCCACATACATTTTGAAAATGTTTCGTCTACAATTCCGCTTATTTCACACTCGCTCATCCCTTAGCTATACACTTTTGTTTATGAAAGCTTACTTCTGTTTGGAGTGTTGGTTGATATTGTATCAATCTTTAAAATGGCTTGGTGTCGCATGGAAGCTTCAAGGAAGTAAGACGAGCGAGCATCCTTGCCAAGGCTTCAGTAAGCTTTAGTTCTGTGTTCGGTCTTTTGAGCTAGTGCCACTTCTGTGCAATTTTTACTCTATTAACAGTTGTCATTCAATAAATAGCATTACATGGAATAAGTTCGTGAAGTTTGGTTTGGTATGGTTTTGTGTTGAAGTGTACATCTGTTCCCAGTGTTAATCATCATTTATATTCCATATGACCCTATTTGTGTTACCGCTTATTTAAATACATGTTTATTCAAGTAATAAAATAGATGTTCTCTTATAAAGGAGAGCATAACTTATTTGAAATCTAAGTCCGTGTAACGTTTTGCACTCCGAACGTTTAGCTTTTGGAATATTACATTGGCATGAACAGACCGTGGGGTTCTCAAATACTGGGAATTCATGAACTGGCGTGATGTGTGGAACAGCACGGACGTGCATGTCGGAGCGCCGATATGTTTCGTCTGAGTTATCGAGTTACTCTGGTGGTGTTTTCCGACCTTTGTGTGGTAATGTGTGGACATTTACATGGTGCTTGTAACTAATGCCTCCAAAGAAGCGCTGCAAGGGTACCAACACCAAAATGGTTAACGACAACGGCGGCCCGCAGCTACAGGTGAGCGATGTTAATCCATGCATGAACAGTGGTAACGCGTATAGTACGTGAAACACGGACATGTCTTGTCAACAGTTCCATCCACAAGGCAACCAGTGGTTCAACGGACAACCATATATGAGTAATGGCCAACCCCCGAATACTTCTTTTTACACTATGGCGTCTCCTACTCCATGGTCCCGTCAAGCATGACCCAATCCAGCACTCCGCCGCCATTTTCGGATACCCCCGCGTGGGCTTTAGCTCTTATATCACCACTAATATCTAAGGTGGATACATTGACAAGCAAACTGTTCAAATTGGATTCACTTGAAAAAGTATTTTCGTGAGCTTCATGAAGATGTCAAAATCCTGAAGATCCGGTTAGATGATATTGAAGGTTCCCAAACTTTTATTGCCAAACAGTTTGAAGATAACCGACACAACTATGCTGACCTCGGTAAATTACAGCAAAGCCTCAATCGTGCCAATGATGATATCGTCGATCTAAAGTGTCGATCTATGATCTTTGGTGTCAGTGAAGAGCATGGGCTTGATTTTATAGAGAGAGTCGACGAGACAAAAGGGGTTTCGGAGCGTGCCCTGTGAGGACTGTATTAATAAAATTAAGATCCTCGCGAGCGACGAATCGGACTTTTCAGAAAATCTACTTAACAACAGAGCTCACAGGACTGGTCCAAAAAAAGCAGGGAATGTGAGTCCCATTGTAGCAAAATTTAGTCAATTTCAACAGAAAGAAAGACTGAAAAACAAAATAAAACAAGGTAAAGGAACTGAAATGTATATCTCTGCGCAATATCCGAAGGAGGTCCGGGATGTCAGGAAGAGGCTGTTGCCTATCTGCAAACAGGCTCGCGATGAAAAGAATAGGACAGTGTTCGTAAAGGACAAACTTAATATTGATAGTGAATTGTACAGATGTCCCGATTCGTCCGTTCCTTCCGTATAGGTACATGGCAACCCTAAGTGTGTGTGTACCGAGATGCCGACTTACCACTGCAGTGACGGACAAAGCGGCCTACTTTTAAATACTCTTGCAAATAATCTCGAAAATATTAACGCGTCCGTTATACTGTCAGGTGAAGCGACACATCAATCTGTTGCTACATGTGTCGGTCGTTTTACGATGAATTGACCCGTGATATGAGTCCGTTTATTGTGCGCGCTAATTCGTGCGCGGAAAGAAATACCGCTAGTACAATGGGGTGTGGCCAAACAAACAGAGGTACACACGTGTGCGAGGACAAGCCTTGGTTTGATCCCGATTTAATTATAAAAATGCTTTAAATGTATTCAACAAATGTTAGTCTGCAAATAATCATAAATATTTAGTTGATAAAAAGAAGTTATATAGATCAGCAGAAGCTGTTAAAAAAGAGATTATATTAGATATGAAGGTGACATGCTAGAATACCTGATAAAGTACACCTCAAAACACTTCTATAAGAAATGTTCATCACCTAAATCATCAGGGCCCCAAATGAGTATTCATGTTTTGTATAACCATTTTAAAGGGTTTACCGCTGAGGGTGGCGATGAGACTGGTTTTGATGATACTTTTAATCACGATGCAGATGAAGAATTCGACAGTCCTAAAGTTATTGATGAAAATAACAAAGCTATTCGTAATTCGAATCGTGGCAAATCAATGGAATCGATGGAATTTTAGACGAATGGTTTTAAGCTGGTAAAAATTTATTGTTGCCTACCTTGTGAATACTATTTAATGAAATTTTGTACTCCGGGAGCTTCCCCTCGGAGTGGTCCGTGGCCGTCATAACTCCAGTCTATAAAATGGTGAAAAATGTGATCCTTATAATTTCAGAGCAATCAGTCTATCAGTTGTCTTGGGAAATTGTTCACGTCTATTTTAAATTCTATGTTAATAAATTGGTCCGAATCATACGATGTTATCACAGATGCATAGTTTGGATTTCGCACTGGACTTAGTATTGTTGATGCGATTTTGCTCTACATTCAATTATAACTAAATCTTTTAGCTTGGTTGATGTCTGCAAAGCGTTTGACTATGTATACAGAGGTAATTATTGGTATAAGCTATCAAAGTAAGGAGTCAGAGGCAAGCTTCTGCACATCATTAAATCAATATATAAACATGTTAGAACTTGTGTAAAAGTTAAAGGTTGTTTATCTGATTTCTTTGCCAATAATATCGGTTTAATGCAAGGCGAAATGTTGTCGCCGATACTTTTTGCTATGTACGTTAACGACTTTGAGTTCTGTTTATCTCAAATTGTAACCAACCATACGATTTTGAAGAATTAAGCCTATCCTTATGTCATATGCTGACGATTTAGTCTTGCTCTGAAAACTGTTGAAGGCTTGCAGGAATTACTGGATAATCTTCCCATTTATTGCGAGTAATAGAAATTAACTGTCAATAGTGAAATCACGAAAGTTGTGGTATTCCGTAAAGGCGGGAAAATCGAAATAATGAAACATGGACTTACCATGGAAAAAAGCTTGATCGTGTTTACCAATTTTCTTACCTCGGCGTAAGCTTAAGATACAATAACAAATTCAATAACATACCGAAACAATTGTCAGATCAAGGAAGTAAAGACACGTTTGCTTTATTTATTTTCTGTTTTCAAATATGAGTCTTTATTATAAAATCATGCTGTGTTGTTTGATACCTACGTTAGTAGCATACTGTGTGCGGTTCGACCAAAGGGCTTTACCTATAGTTAAACAGTTTACAAAAAATGTAATGGTATACTAGGAACTTGGTCGTTTCCCTTTAGAATATACACGAAGGTTTAGAATAATTAAATATTTGTTTAAACTGCTCGACACGAAAAATTGTATTTTGAATACTGCCTATGATTTTTTATCAAAGAAAAACACCGGTGGTTGATTCAATTGGGAACACTATGTAAAATAATTGCTATGTACTCTTGGCTTCTGTGAAGTATGGCTTAGCCAATCACCATCGAACGCTAAATCCATTTTTCCTTATACACGTCAAAGAATTTGACCACGCTCCACAATATTTTAGAGGTTTATTAGAGAATTCGGCGAAATGTTTTTTATATAAGCATATTGTAAACCATTTTTCCATCCAGTTTTATTTAACTCAGTAAATGCCTAAGAAACATAGAATATGTTATACAAAACCTCGTATGTTTGCACATTCTTTGGCAATTGAAACTGGTCGTTATAGAAATATCGAGCGGAATAGGAGATATTGTGCAATTTGTAAGTCGACTACTGAAGTAGAAGACGAATATCATCTTGTATTAATATGTAATATGTACAACGACTTAAGAAGTAAATATATCAAAAAATACTATTGGCAAAAACCTTCAATGTTTGAGTGTCAATAACAACAAGGACTGAAGCCGTCTTCGCAAGTTTATTTTTGAAGCAAATAAGATAAGAGCTGTATTTCTTTTACTCGTACTCCACTTTTGTCTTGCTGTTTCACATCCTTTTTATGTATTGTATACAATATATAATATGTACTCATGGGCCGTATGGCCTACAGTCAATACATTGAATTGAATTGAAAAATAACGAACGAGTAGTAAGTGGTCAATAGTTTTCGATGTTAATTACCTTAGAATATTAAAGGGAGCATATTGATAATTCGAATCTACAACTGTCACTGGTAATGCATGCTACACAGTTGTACAATATATTGATATACAGCATCAATAAATAAACATGATTCGCTACATTTCACATTTTCATAAAATTGTTGAGATAAAAAAAATAGTTTTTCTTAAAAGAATTAAGGGTCCTTGCCCCTTTGCAAAGTTTGGCCTATGCACAGTAATTTTCCTTTAACTTCAGTTGGGCTATAACTGTAGAACGATTGGGCCGGGACACGTGCGTTGATTAGGTAAGCAGTGGCTTGGAACGATAGTTTAGCAGTCAGCAGTATATAAGGGTTCGAATCTAGTCCGCGGTGTCTTTGTTACACTCAAACACTGTTGTTATTCATATTTCTTTTAAGTTATCCTTATATTTCTCGTAAAAGTCCTGCAAAGTATGTTTATCTTTTTAGAAATCATTTATCAAGGATATCATCATGACGGATAAAATAGAATCAAATACTTTGTTTTAGATTTTGGCAGTGGTGCGGTGGTCCTTAATGAAACAGGTTATTTAATTGGTTCCAAACTACATAGAAATACAATTTAAAAAGCTGTAAACCCATCATTGTTAGGTGGTAAACAAATGACTCTTGATTAGCAAATTAGATGGAAACAATATTCAATGTGATAAACTTACAAATGTAAAAGATATAAATGTTTAATTATAACTCTAAACTTTACATGAGTAATATTTTTATTCTGCATTTCGTAACATTCGTTTAGATATTACTTTGCTATCAAATTGTTGCACCTGCCTTTGCAAAAATTACAAAATTTTACACAACGTTCCTTGAAGAACTATTATACATGGTATTATACATGTCGTTTACATAGGCAGGGGAGGGAAATATGTGTCAAGGTCTCTTGCTGTCACGTTTATCAGGATGTTGTGTCCATAAACTTGCGTCATATCGCGACAGGTAAAATAGAGCTAAACTATTATTTACAGGTGAGATAATAGAAGATTTAAAAAGTTAACAATATTCTTGAAATATTAAAACAATAGAATTTTAGAATTTTAGCAACTGTATGTGTTAAAATACAACAATGTGTTTTATTTCATCATTTATAATANGGTGTTATAAAATCAGTAACTGTCGCGTATACAGCCTCTGTTTTTGTTTTCCAAATGACGTCTTATATTGATTTTACAATTTAAAACTCAAAATTATATATCTAAGACAAAAAATGGATTTCTGGAGACAAATGATTGGGCGATGGGGGTATGTGAAATAAATAAAGATTATCTGTCAATATGTCAATCTGTCTGACCGTCTGTTCGTCTACCTGTCTGAAAGGATATGTGTTATTTTGTTATCTATTGTAAAAAGTTCTACTCTTTAATAAAAGGAAGGCTATTAAGAAACGACAGAGGTTGAGCGAACCATGACAATTAATCGACATCTAACATTTTTGTACAATCAGATACATATATTACATTTACCTCCTCCGTTCCTGTAGGTAAGATATGGTACCCTCCAGAATTCCGGCATACCAATCGAATATCCAAGTAACGCTACAATGAACTCGACTCGGGAAGTCCATTTCACGTTTACAGCACTGGTGTTCGCCATTTGTAAATAATTAGAATATCCCCGAATTCCAACGGTTTCAAATTCAACTGACTTATAACTGATATACGTGTATGGAATCAACGTTGGCTGTTCTGGTCTACGTGTCGCCGTTAGATGAAGTATGCGAGGTTTAATGAGTACTAGTATACGCCGGTAACATGTGTACGAAAACTGACATTTTTATTACAGTTTTGTGTCATGCTTGGTTGACTTTTCTGTAAAGATGTTTCTTCAATGTTTAATGTGTTTTTACTTTTTAATAATGCATGACTATAATATGTTTCTGCCTCATTGAACTGTTTATGTTTGTTCATACAACGTATAGTGATCGTTTTAGATTTTACAGAAGCTTCACTATGCAAAGTTATAAGACATTCATAACTGCATATAGTTGGCATGTGATATCCGTGTATATATCGTAAATTTTAAGACGTCTGTGATAGAGGAGTTAAAACATTCACATTTCCGTCTCTTCTGACAATGCATATATGTAATTTGCTCAATTTACAAAACGTCACCAGTTATTTTGTTATAAATTGTTGCATGTTGATTTTCACAGTAATACTCATTATCATCCGTTGCACAAATTGAACACTTGCATCTTCATGGCTTTGAAATATTTATGTTAATTTCCCAGTAAAAAAGCAATATCTGTTCATCTGACATTTCAGATTGCACTTGAACATTGCACGAATATAATACATTGACATCTTAAAATCCAGTCCGATCCAACCAGTCCAGTCCAATACATCACAGTACATATGCAAGACCACACACTTGTGCAAGAAATATCAAAGTTTATAAATCTTTGATATTTTATGCAAATACCGGGAACTTTTCAGTTCGCCATGACGAGGTGATTCCCATAAAAAGTAGTTTCGACTAGTAGGTAAATACAACATTCCGTATTGCACATGGGCAATACAGAACGTTGTATTTCATGGTCTGGAAATTGCTTGTATTACTATAACAAGATTCAACAGGTATGTGATAACAGAAAATCTCACACCGGTAAAAGTGCGGATACACCTGTCCAGGGTACGAGAAAAAGGTGTCTCCAAGGTCGTGGTAGTTTATTATCATATTTATCTAGCACTCGTTAGTTAATTTTTAAACTGTAAAAGACACTAAGTAAACCCTTAGTCTTCGTGCAATTTGAAATTTAACTAAATCGTGCCCTAATTTAGATTGATCCAACAGATGGAGCTTTACTCTTTTGTAAATAGGGAACTGCAAGGTTTAATGTTTAACAAATGTTATTCATATATCTCAGAGAAGACATTTCCCTAACGGGTTTGTGTTTGAGAATGTGACGGCCAAGGCCATGGTCATCATAACTATCTGTAGAATGTAGTTTCCATTACTTTAAATGTTTGGTTTACTCAGCGAATTAGTCCAGTATGAAATTACCCTGAAATAGCTTGTGATGAAAGTTTCCAAAAACAAGGTCTCTTAAGCTATCTTTGAAAACATCTCTGTAGCTCTTACGACTAGTAATCTGAATGCTATTTACATGTACATAAGAGAATGAAATTCTAGGTTATTTCGTATTGCTGAATTAAGTTCTCTTGATGTGAATGCGAGGGGAGTGGTATTGTTATTGAGGTCTTGGTATCTAGTTTTCTTAAATATTAAATTTTTTCAAAGATGAAATGTTTCAAACATATTGAAGTGTATTGTAAACGATTGTTGTTCAGCTTCCTTTCTATATGCAATTGACTTTGTGTAACAATAGTTTTATTCAAATGATCTTAAAAAAAATAAAAAAAAATAATTACTCGACATTATACCATAGAAAAATGTCTAGAAGATGTGTTAGATTGTTCTGTATATGCGTGATGATTTTATGAAATATTTATCAATGTGTTGCTATAATGTTTGCCAAATTGCTATATGACATTGTTAAATATATGAGTGATATATGCATTTGTGATTAAAAGCAAATAAAATATCCTTATCTTTTTTTGTTCTTGTAATAATGACTGTAAACTGTGTTAACATTAATATATGTATAACAGTCGGACAAATTTGATGAATGATATCAACAAGAACATATACAAACTTGTAATGAAAGTGTTGCTACCAGCAAATATACTGAACGATGTTTTTAATATTAATGCCTATAGTATATGTTGATTAGTAATGTAACCCATTTGAAATCATACAAAAGCAGCAGTTTGTAAAATTCCGTTTAATAACTAATTTCAGTCTGCATATATAACTATATAACTAAAAGATATGGAATTCACAAATATATATGGCAATTAAATATCGCAAATATCAGTGCAAATAGCATTCCTTGGACAGCCGGAAATTTAAGACGCGTTTCTTCCAAGGATTTCAAGCACTATGGATATTCGGCATTCAACGCTTATTCTGTAGCAAATTCATATCAATTTAGTTGATTGGCAACACGGATATACAATTCCATAACCTGCAAATATACAATGAAAACCCACCTGAAAAGCCAGCACACAAGTTCACTTGCCTCCAGAGCTACACATGCATTATCTATAAATCAGGCAGCTTGATTAGCGAGGAAAATGGTGAATCCTCAATCGGTCAATATATTCTTTATAACTGTACTCTTAAATCTGTGAACATAATGTTTCGTCGGTTTGAAATTTCCATACAGCAGTTGAATTGATAGCACTGTAAGATAGATATCGTTCTATATCATCTCTGCACGCATTTACAAATTGTTTTTTCCAAGCCATAAAGGACTTCTGAATACATTTTCTTCCATCCAAGTTCAGATAATACATGAAGGAGAGTGTCGTCGACCTTTTGTACCTGGTGTGTAATGTACAAGACAATGTTTTCCACACAGCTGTCCAAACATGTCTTTAGATGTGCATTTATGTGATCTGAAATTATTTTCTTATTGTTAATATCTCCGAAAACATCCAGATAAATCACAGTACCGGCTTCGGATTGAACAGAGGTAACTGCGGAAATGGGTGAATACTTTGCATGAAGGGTAATCTGTTTGACATCGGCAGTTGCAATCATTTCAACACCTGAAAGCATGTGTTCTATATTCTGTGATAAAAGCATGTACGGTACACATTTAACAACGATCCTGTTTTCTGGAAACAGATGCCTTGTTGCGGATTGGTTGACAAATACCTCATTTAGATATTGAGCATCGACTTTTCCAAGAGAGTTAGAAACGTTTCTTGATGCAAGTGAAGACTGGAGAAACGTCTTAGTAGCTGTAAATACCAAGGCTTGCTGCAAAAAAGAGCAACAAACATAACATGAAATAATAAAACGATTATAAGAGTTAATCTTACGTAATAGAATTTTGTTTAACTTTTTTTTTATTTATCAGGGTTTAATTCTATTTTTTATTTTATTTTTAATGAAAGATAAAATATAACAGCATAGTATGACCTATACTATCTAATGATATGATTAATTAATAACAGTTTATTTCTAGTTTCAACAAACAGACAAAAATTAATAACTTGTAATATGGAAATAAATTACACTGTTTTTTTCAAGTGATAACAAACATATGGTCTGTTTTTTAAATATTACGAAAACCATATTTTCATATTTCTCAGCACGTTATGTATCGCAGATGTTTGATATCGAATTCATCAACGCATAATCATTGGAACATTCATACCCGCTTGACAATCAGTTTTGCAGATCTCTCTAGAAGTTTCCTGTATGCAGAGTTTGTGTGTACGACAAAGACACTTTTGTTGGGAGCAAGGCGGAGATTTTTCATACAAAACTCCCTCAATTGTGAATAAAATCCCTGACCTTCATATTCTTTCCGAACACGAATTGATTGTATGAAAACACTGTTGCCACCATTGATGACGGCTGCAAACATGAAACATACCTGCAAAAAGAATAATGGCTTTATTGACTATCTTTACGACCGATTGATTAACATGCCAAGAAATACACGTCATGAAAATAACTTCTGCTTCCTGAAATGTATAGCTAAAACTGATGAACAACATTCATATTTTGCCATGTGTCGTTGATGGAATTGTTATATTAATAATATTTAACAGTGTCTTCAGTAATACCAAATATGTTTCACTCGTGTGGCCAATATATAAGACTGTTTATCACTCCGTATGTTTGTTTATGATATGACTACTTTCCTAAAACATCATATACTGGTCCCGCTTTCTTTGAACTCTTTCTATAAATGTCGTCTTTTATACAGAAGAGATACATAAACATATTTCGTTTAACCATTATTAAAGACTTACTAAGATATTAAATACAACTTCCCATTACGCCATAATAAGAACTCACGCCTACAAGTTCACAGGTTAACGTAACATTCTAGTACTCATGCACTGATGGAAGATGGTAATGATACTTAACCTTAAGCAAGCAGGGCTTTACAAATGTTATATTACGTTCAAGAAACCGATGTATTTCAACAAAAGTCAATTTTCCAACTGAGTGTCAAACGTGCGATGGAATTGTTGATATATCCAGCAAATCCTGTGTTGTTTTCCAAAAGTTTGAGGTATCGACTGGGAATATAGTCCAAACCATCATACGAGTGCTTTCGTATCGATACCACGTCGTCATAATCATCAGCTGTTGTTTTTCGGAAGTGTAAGTCCGTCATATCTTTGTACTCTTTATAAGTGTCGGTAGCTTTGTGCAAAGTAGAAGGAAATGTTTGGTATGTGTATGTTTTATGTCGTAGACACTGACTCTATGACTTCTATTTATATTTAATCGACGCCCGCCTTTCCAGACATCAAAAATGTAAATACATGGTTTTACGTAATAGACCCAGTCTTAATCGTTGAATGTGCATGTTATTATCAATATTATATTAATTCCGTTTACACTAACTTAAACTAGAAATGTTTAACATCGAAAGTAAAGATTAAAGCGGGAATATAAATCATACAGCAAAAATGTTAAAGATATCATCTCATCCAGGAGAGATGGAATTCTTCAGAAATTGTACATAAAAATACTTATGCTAAATGTTTATTTGCGAAGAGATAATCGATAATTAATAAGTGTATAATTAAACTTAGCATTTAAGAAACTTAAAGAGGAAAATACAAAATAAAACGAAGGTCTTC